TTCCCCATGAGTGAGAATCAGTCAAGCATCGCTTTTAGTGCGCAAAGAGGAATGCAAGAAAATCCAAATCAAATCAAAGCAAATTTTAGATTTTATTATTGCCACAACCTTTTTGTTAGCATCACGCAACCAAAATTCTTACTCAACTTCGACACCCATCAGCCGCAGACGGCCGAAACACACGATAGAGACTTGACGGACGCCGCTCTTCAGTGCTGCAGCTTCACTGATTTTGCATAATTTCATAATTTTAAATCAAATCAACGCGCAAAGCTAACAGATAGTAAACAAACGACGAGCACTTTGGGTGCTGGGAAGCAGATGAGAGATGATCGCAAGAGCCGGTTTGAGCTGACTCTATGGATAAGGTTCTGGGCTGTTAGTGAACGCATTAAATCAGCGATGCTTAAAATTTAATTGGACATAAAGCATATGGGTGCAACAGTCAAGGGAAAAAAAACCAAAAATCCAAAAACAACAACGCATGCAACGCACCCTTGACTACAACAACGAAAACAGCAACAAAAACAATGTAAAGTTTGTGCCGAAACCACAAGAGAATTAAAAACAGACACTGATTTCCCACCCAACCAGACATGGCAATGTGTATAGCTGTTGCATGCCTGTGGCATGCCTGCGGGGGTAACATCGGCTAAACAGCTAACAAACAACAATCAAAACGAAATAAATAATAAATATACTTGAGTAATTCAATTTGCAACCTAACGATACATAAAACAAGTCATAACCCTGCAAGCGAAGGGTGACTGCCACATGGTGTACCGTTAGCTGCAAGTATTTCGTACAAACAGCCGTTAGATGCCGCCACACCCGCAACAGCTGTGTAGTTGTAGGCGATGAGTGTTTATAGGATAACATATAAAGCACAACAACTATATAAAAGTTACAACAATAACAAAAATTACAACAACAAAAAATTACAAAAACAAACAAAATTGCGAAGACGAAAATAAAAAAATAAAAATAAACAAAAATTACAAAAACAAGCAAGAAACTACAACAACAAAAATTACAACAACAACAAAAATAACAACAACTGCAGTAAATTACATTAATTCAGTGCAAACGCTTTTTTGATGTTTGCCACAATGAAAATCATTTTTTTCTTTGACGCAAGTGCATGTTGCAAGTGGTTAACGTTGGCCAGCGGTCAGCGCACAGTTGAAGTTACTCATACAACGTGTTGCTCAGCGTGCCTTTGTGTCCGTTGTATACATAACGGTTTAAAAGTTACGCGCTTTGCTGATTGTTGACTGTCCTTTTTGAGGTTCTTTGTGCGCTTAGAGCTTCTTCAGTCCGCTTACGAATAATAACAACAATCATCCACATCTAAATAATGGCAAGAAAGTGCTGTTGGTCAATGTTGAGTACTTGCTACGGTACTTGAGAATTTCACTTTCATGTTCTTAATTTAATATTGTTGCTGACCACTGCGACCAAAACGACCGTCGAGGCGCTGGAGACCGTTATTTAATGGCTGACCGCAAGTGCTGTGAGCTAAGTTGGTAACGCAGCGTATAAACCACGCTATGGTATGAAGTCTAAGCAGTCTTTACAGTTAGTCTAACGGTTTTGTTGATTATGTGAATGGTCATTTCACGCACGAATATATCACTAATTGGGCTTGCTGAAACGAATGAGAAATAATTATTATTAGGTGAGATGAGCAGCGCTTACCTGGAGTTTACTCTACTTCAAAAAAGCTAATCAGTCCTTTTTTTGACTTCAACCAAGCCAAATAAAGCTGATACCATGCGAAGAGAAGCGACCGCAACAACGGAATGAGTTGAAAAGCTTGTTTGCAACAGAATGAAATAGCTAAGGTTGAACGCAATCACAAAAATGTGAGAGCTAATTTAACTCCATCTCACATGGCCTTTTGAAAGAGTCCATGGTGAGTTGATCCTTTTTCCGAGCGTTATTATCAACTGTCTAACCAAAATGGATTGATTCAAGCTTGGAGAATCGAGAGCTCCATTATTACCAATGCCAAGTTTAAAGTAACAAAAAAAAAAACGATTTTCTTCAAAGTGGACCCGGTTCTGAGCATATAATGTCACATTTCTGATTTGAAGCAGATTCTCATAAAACACGGTTCTTGTATGTGTTTTACAACCAACCACTTACATGATGACATCAAGACAGACGCCATAAATAGAAGGAGAAGCTTAACCAAACATCATGTAGAAGAATTGTAGACATGAGTTTAGCTTATAGAGAACTTATGATACAAAGCTCTGCTTATGTTTTAACGTCTTTAACGGCAGAGAGCTGTCATCGCATCTGAATAAGGGTTTAGTAATGTTCAGAAAACAAGCTGAGAAAGATTACCAGCTGTTCCACGACATTAGGGTCTATTTAACCGGAGCGGACCCGAATTCTTGTTCGGCCAGGGACTGTCAACTCCACAGCATTCCACCAAATTCCACGGCGATCTAATCCGATTTGATTCGGTTTGTATTATTTCCAGTTATAACGATATGGTTATAAGTTCCAGGCTCTTGACTCTAGCTAATTCGTTCTTTTCTCCATGTGAAACCCTTTCGCATGACCCCTATACCTATTAATAAACCGTTAGATGTTCCATTCCTGGATTGCTAGAAATTGTGATAGATTTCGCAGGAGGAATTAAACCATAAAATTCATACTCTTTCACCGATCAACACATTTCGATCCAATAGCTTTTCAATATACTTTTTAAGGCTATAACCCATTCTGGTCTTATCAAGCGTCAACAAGGACAAGAAGAAGTAACCGTAAGTAGGTAACCGTTACAACAACAACAACAAGAAGAAATACCTCCTGCGTCACAACGATTAGGAGACCAAATCACTGTTGACAGTGAAAACTTCGTCCGAAATTAATCGGAGAATCAATTTTGTCAACAGGTGTTATCATGGCTCAGCAGGCAATTGAAAAATAGGACTTTCTCTGACAAAACCAAACTAATATTCTATAATTCACTGATACTCGCTGAATGACACGGAAGCTCCGACGAAGACAAACAGCGAAGAGCATTCTTTAGGAGCTTTCGAGGGAAAGTTCTTCGAAGAATTTTTGGTCCACTACGCGTGGTCATGAGCAATGCAGAGACGACTGGCAAATGCTTATGGACGCGGTCAAGACCAAAACCCGGTTGTAGTGCCAACCAGACCTGATAACCCATTCTGGCCTAGCAGACCATCAGCATGGTTTCCGTAAAGTGCACAGTACCACCACAGCACTTAGCGTCATAAACGCCCAGATAGTTCATGGCCTGAACCAGAAGCCACCCTGCGAGAGGACGATCCTCGTAGCGTTGGACTTGTCAAAAGCTTTTGACACAGTCAATCACGCAACGCTACTTGAGGACCTGGAACAATCAACGCTCCCTCCAGGGTTGAAGCGGTGGACCATGAACTACCTGAGCGGTCGACACTCATCCGTACTATTTCGAGGTCAAAACTCCAAACTCAGAAAAATTAAACAGGGGGTTCCGCAGGGCGGTGTCCTCTCCCCGCTACTGTTTAATTTCTACATTTCGAAACTCCCCCAGCCACCAGCGGGAATTTCAATGACCTCGTACGCAGATGACTGTACGATATTGACGTCGGGCAATGGAATCGATGGCATGTGTTCAAAAGTAAACGGCTACCTCTCCGATCTTTCTCGCTTCTTTTCTGCAAGGAACTTAACACTCTCCCCCACTAAATCCACAGCGACCATCTTCACCAATTGGACGAAGGAGTACAGACTGGACCTGAACATTTCAGTCGATGGCACAAAAATTCCGACAGTAAATAACCCTAAAATTTTAGGCGTCACTTTGGACAGTCTGTGCTCTTTCACTCCTCACACGACCGCGATAACTGCCAAAGTACAGAGCCGCAACAAAATCCTCAAGTCGCTTGCCGGCAGCTCATGGGGAAAGGACAAAGAAACGTTGTTGGCAACATACAAGGCAATCGGCCGGCCGGTCCTCAATTATGCAGCCGCAATATGGTCGCCTGGATGTAGTGACACGCAGAATAAGAAGCTCCAGACTTGTCAGAACACTGCACTCCGGACTATCACGGGGTGCCTCTTGATGTCCCCAATCGAACACCTACACAGTGAGGCCCGTATGCTTCCGGTTAAGGAACATAATGAGCTCCTCTCCAAGCAGTTTCTGCTGGGATGTTTTCGCAGAAACCACCCCTGCAGACGCCTGCTTGCAGCGGAGCAGCCTCCTAGGAACATCAAGAGGTCCTTCCTTGACTACGTCGACGACATCAGACAGCACGTCGACCAGACTTCGGACGCAACTAACTTCAGACAAGCACTGACCGCCATTCACAGTGGAGCCATTAACACCTTCACCGACTCCCTTTCAGTGAATGGCGTAATACGAGTCAAACCACCACCCATTGCAGACACAGAGCTCGAGTTGCCTCGCGAATCTAGAGTAACCCTCGCGCAACTTCGTTCTGGATACTGTAGCAGGTTAAACTCCTACCTATCCAGAATAGACCCCGACATACTAAACACATGTCCTGCATGCAATGAGTCTCCGCATGACACTAACCACCTCTTTGCATGCCCTACAAACCCCACTCATCTAACACCCCTTTCCCTATGGTCCGACCCCGTCGAAACAGCTCGTTTCCTGGGCCTTCCGTTAGATGACCTCGACGACAACGAATCTAGAATTTATCACCCAAACGGGGATTAGATAATCGTTATAACAACAACAACAACAACATAACCCATTCTGGTCTATTTTTGTTGGAAGTATTCTTTAACACAACATGACAGGAATAGGTCCTTATACCCACACACGCTTCTTGGTTGATTAATAGCGTTGGCGAGCCAAAAGCAAACACAAGAAAGTAGGTTGTTTCCACGACAGTCGGGTCTACGTAATCGGAGCAAACCCGGATTTTTATCCAGCCAAGGATTGTCAATTGAAAATCCTTGGAACTCATTGTTGACGTATGTTTTCCATATAAAAAAGAGTTCTGTAAAAAATTTAAAAGTTATTTATCCAGTTTGATTACAAATAATAACCTCAATTTTTATATCAAATCAAGCCAAGGGATTCACTCTCAAAGCAAATGCATAAAAAAATTAAAAATAAGCTCCATTCCCAAAAAGCATCACCATTTCCATGTTAATTGCCATTAAGGAAATTTCCAACACTTCACATTACTGTCATTATAAGCCGCGCCCATTCTAAAAGCTTTCAATGCATTGTCACCTACAGCACACCCAAATATGTACATACATCCGCATATGTGTATGTGCATGTAGCACGAGCTGTTCGTTAAGCAATTCACAACTGTAATTAAGAAATTGCGAAAATGACAATAAAATCGTCGAAGAGGAAATGCAACCACTTACCGAAACAAGTGCAATTACATACTACACCGTTATGCGTACATGTATGTATGTATGTGCATGCATTAAACCCTAGAGTAGAGTCGCAAGCGTTAGGCCACTCAGTGTGCAACTAAAGTCACTGACGCCGTAAGCTGTCACAACTGACACTTTGTTTAAATTTCTTGATTGTTTTGCTGATGCACCTTCTCTTTTTCAATTTTCAATACAGAAATTATGGTAAATGTGTTCACCGCCGCACACCCAATGCGCCGCAGCTTTATGCACAATCAACCAACTGTGTGCAAGCGTCACCTTTTAGCTTCGAATATGTGCATAAATCAGCTAGATTAGCTTTTTAGCGCATTCCCCAATGATAACGTTGTAAATTGAGTGCTTGTGTTCGGCAGGTGTGCGACGTTCAAAGTGCCATTGCACAACTAGCACTCGCTCACCAACTAATTTAGCTAATTGCAGCATCCTTCGGGGATTGCTTATGGAACTGCATAATTTTTCACACTTTGATTGCACATGAGAACAGGTAAATTTATGATGTGTATGTTCACTTCCAGCGGGATGTGTGCAAAAAATGTTTCCATGCAAAAAAAAAAGTAACAAAGAGTGCTCCACAATAAACAATAAATAAATATTGTCAGTTTTGAATGCACTGCACAGTTTGAGTGCTTGCTTTTCATAATAAATCAGAAACAGTTTGCTTGGCTTGTGCATGGTTGCCAGTAGGAGTGTGTTTAAATTTTAAAGTTTATGGCGACATCTGTAGGAAATGTTGACATTTATAAAAGGTTCAGAAATTAGAAAAAGTTTCATTATGCAAGAAGCTTATCAAATGCGCTGAAAGATATTTTTTAAAGAAAAATTTATTATTTTCTTTTTCGGTTTTTTTTTTTAATAATTTTATTATTACACAAATATTTATTGAAAAATTTATTTTTTCTCTCCCATTTTTAAATAAATATATTATTTCAAAATTTATTTCTTGAGGAAAAAAACTCTTCAACCAAATAATAATATTAAAATTTTTAAATTTAAATCCCTATAAAATACCGTTGTTGCTTTTTTAAGCTGTGTCAAGTCAAATCTTTTGAAACATTCAAGCTCTTATACATATGTATATATTCAGGAAATTGGAATATCAAATGTACTTTTGTTTGAGAATTTTCTCTGAAAGTTCAAAGAAGAGCCGACCAATAGTTTCGGAGATATGAGCGAATTTGTAAGAATCGTTGGATGGATCCATCGACTTGAAATTACGCGACTTTTTAGATACATGGACATATAAGTATATTTATCAGGTAATCATCGAATAATGGATTGGAAAATGAGGCCATGTGTAGAAGTTGTCATAAGTTAAGAAAGTTTTTTGGCTGCCATTCACCTGGGAGTGAACAAAAACTTTTTGTTTTCTTTTACATATGGTTAAAATATCTCACAACTTCCAGCCTTAGACCAAATATGCTTTGGGTAACCAACGACACCCTTTTGGAGTTCTCTGCAAGACTTCTCGCAAAATTCAATATGGCGGAGTCCAAAACTGCACGATGTTTCATCAAATAATAAGCTGGGATTAAATTATATTAAAAATCGAAAAAACTTGCATAATTTACATTGCTGAATTTTTACATTTTAAACGAAAAGTTGTCGTGGCTATATATATAAAAATATTCTTTAACTTATCCGCCCATACAGATTATATCCCCGAATTTGGGTTACTTTTTAAACTTCTTCCAAAATAATGTATGTTTTCTCTACTAAAAAATTTGTCAAGCAGCACGATTTACCGGCGTTAAATTTTCGTATCAGCGCCGCCACACTTTCTCAACTTTTCCACAGCGCACTCTTCTGGCAACATTGTAAATTTATTTTGCTTTCGCTTTCTCATTGTTGCTGCACAATTTGTTTCGTCTGTCGAGTGTTTTTCGTTTTTTTTGTGTGTGATTCTGCATCAATAGAAAAATATTTCCGTTAAAAACTGCACAAACAAAAACAGCAATAAAGTTAATTAATATTTACAAAACAAGCCATTTAATAATTTCATAAACGTCATATGTATTCGTAATACTTTTAAGTGAAATTCGGATAGCGATCGCTGGCGCTATATGTTCAACAGCGTCGTGTGAGTGTTATCTGCATACATATGTATGTATGTTTGTTTTTGTGTGTACACGGCTATATGCGTTCGTCTGTCGGTCCGTCCACGGTGTGTCTAATAGATACTGTCTATACTCGTTGTAACTAAACGCCGCGCATCCCGCATCAACGTTTCAGGTGCGATGAATCATACCTTTTTGAACGAGTAATTGTAAGACAAAAAAAAAAATGGGAAAACTTTAGTATAACGTCCCACGCTTTCGGGGATAAAATGAGTATGGTCGGATAGAGGAGATCCTCCAGATCAAGAATATATATAGATATAGCCGCGGGAAACTTATAGTTTTCGAGATATTTGGGTTTAAAGTTCAAAATTTTGACTATTTAAAGTACGCATTTTTCCCATTTCGAATGAGTTATACACTTATATTTTCCACTTTTATATCCACTAACACTTCACTAATTCGTTTGTACACATGTTTTTTACATTATATAGTGCAAAAATAGTTTAATTTAATAATTAAATTATTGTTAAATTCTATTAATTCTGACAATAACAAAAGGGTTGCAAAATTTCAAATAACTAGTGTTACCTTATCGACATCTTTTGTAATTGAACTGAAAGAAATTAAAACAGATAATACCCCAAATGCAGGAATCCAAAACCTAGAGAAATAAACTATAACAAAGCATTGATGTTAAGTATTATGTTATACCCTCTATGACAATAATCCTTTTTTCTGTAGAACTCTTTTTGCGTTGGCGGCCTTCGGCCGCGCTTCAAAAAATAAACCCTGGTCGGTCCAAAACCGGGGTGTATCAAATATTTTTCGTGCAGAACTTCTTTGCGTTGGCGGCCTTCGGCCGCGCTTCAAAAAATAACCCTGGTCGGTCCAACACCGGGGTGTATCAAGGTTTTTTGCACAGAACTCCTTTTTGCGTTGGCGGCCTTCGGCCGCGCTTCAAAAAAATAACCCTGGTCGGTCCAACACCGGGGTGTATCAAGGTTTTTTTGCGCAGAACTCCTTTTTGCGTTGGCGGCCTTCGGCCGCGCTTCAAAAAAATAACCCTGGTCGGTCCAACACCGGGGTGTATCAAGGTTTTTTTGCGCAGAACTCCTTTTTGCGTTGGCGGCCTTCGGCCGCGCTTCAAAAAAATAACCCTGGTCGATCCAACACCGGGGTGTACCAAAGTTTTTACGCGCAGAAATTCTTTTTGCGTTGTTTCCTGTATGTAGGGCACAATCTCTGTGTTTATTTTATTTTTCTTCGTTTACAAAATATATTAGTATGGCAACACTGATGTTTTGACATTCACAACCATTTCGTTATTGTCAAAATTAATAAAATTGAAGAATGATTTAAATATTGAAATAAAGCTATTTTTGCAGCATCTAATATAAAAAAAATTTGTAAAAACGAATTAGTCAAGTGTTAGTGGATATAAAAGTGAAAAATATAAGTGTATAATTCATTTTAAATCGCAAAAATAAGTACTTCAAATAGTTGAAATTTTCAACTTTAAACGTAAATATCTTGAAAACTATAAGTTTCCCGCGGCTATATCTATATATATTCTTGATCTGGAGGATCTCCTCTATCCGCCCATACCCATTTTATCCACGAAAGCGTGGGACGTTATTCTAAAGCCGACCCAAAAAAATACTTATGCAGTAGCAAACAGAAATAGTGCTGGTTGTTGCTGCAACAACAACAATATAGTAATCAATTAGTGCAAAGCAGGAAAAGCAAATGCATTCTCGAATGCTGTGCGACAAGGTAAAATGTGCATATAGTATTTTAGCGTTTGTGACAAATATAGCTGCGGTTGCAACGTCCAAGTGCATTTATGTGGATTTGCAATGTCATTGTTGGAACAACTAACAAGGAATTACATTTACCAGCATTAGCATACATGTGAAAGTTGGAAATAACAAGCTGCCAACTTTACTTTACCCCATTACAATTACAGAGCTGTAACGATTGAATAATTGGCGTGTATTTACTGTGGTGCCGCACGCAAAAATGAAAATGGTCAAATTATTCTTCAGGTAGGTGTCAAAAATTGTTCTTTACATACATAGCATAGTATATTATATACTTCCTTCTGTTTATTTTTCGCATATAAATCATAAACGTGTTAGAATCATTAAAAATGATTATGAATGAAATGCAAAGCTGTGCTCTAGCTGAGTCCATACAAGCGCTAATGCTTTAGAGCGTAACCGCTTTAGGAATTGACGACAACTTCGAACCTACGCAACTCAACGCTTACACTAAATGCCGTAGCACTGCTAGCTGGTACTGTGTCTAACATACCGGTGCCGAGGCGCTACTCTCTGCTTTTTATATACTGCTCTTGTGCGTGCCTACGCGCTCTACAGTGTGCTGGTTTATTTCTGTGAATGACGTAATGCCATCAGCTCTAGCAGCGAGCAAAGCATTCGTAACAACAAAATCACACACACTGAAGCGTTAGCAAACAGCCAACCTAACTGATCCAATAGCAACGACCAACAGACGGGTCACAAAGAGCCCAGCTAGCAAATCCACGTATATTTTAAATACAAATGTTATAAATGTATACAAACACTACAACAAAAATGCAGAAAAAAGTTCGGAAAAAACAACACACGCTAGCGGCTAAAACGCTCGTTGTTGGTCGGCTTGGCGTTTGTATGATTTTTTTTTTTTTTGTTGTATTGAAGCTGGTTTCTTTACGTTTAATATGTAGTACACACACTTCTTTTAGTTTTGCCCATTGTTGTTAAAGCTTGCGACAGTGGCGGAGGCACTGTTGCAACGATTTTTATTGTTTTTGTTGTGTGGCTCGTTTTTACTTTTTTGGGTTTTGCTCTTTCCATCAACGCTGTTGATGATTACCCCACAAGTTTTTGTAGTTTGTGTCTATGGGAAATCGCTGCAACATTGTGCGTTGCCTGAAATTTGGTCAATGACCCACCGCCACTGTTACTCTCTGACATGCTTTGATACTTATTTTTACACTGATGACGTCGCTAATGCAACGCTATTTTTATTGTTTAGTGCAGATAACTTCTTTTGTTCTTGGTGTAGGCTGTGTGATTGGCAAAATTTTAACATTTGCAACACGCTACTTAGGATTTCACAATATTATTGGTTACCAGGTGGGGAGAGTATAATTTGAAACTGAAGTATTATCGCTACACACACGTGATGGTTATTTATCGATTTCCTGATTACTTGCAATATTGTCAACTGCACTGCACTTATGTATATATGTATTGTTGTGCCTGGTTGGATCATAGTATAAAAATAAATGCTTACTGATTTGAATGGTAAAATTACAATTCGTAAGACTTTCTGAATAATAAAGATGTCAGTTTGCATATAAAGCTCCTGTAATGCAGTAGTACTTCAAAGTGACTGGCGGCAAGCGCATGTGCTAATTATAGTGAAAGTAAGTTAGTTGAATAACTACAACAATTGAAATCTTATACAGGTTCGTGCATTATACGTTAAAACTTTAAACCGAACATTAAGGGTTACAGGTTTCAGGACCAAAAAAACAGTTCTAAAAACAAAATTTTCAATTACTAACCTCAAAATCAGCATTAAATCTTTAATTTCCAATGAAAATCTAACTTTTAACCCAAAATCCAAAATGTTGGGAAAATATTGAACATTGCAAAATCGGAATTTAAAATCGAAAATTTTATATTTAATTCCAAATCAAAAAAACCAAAAAATAATTATAAACATCCGATTACATTTTTTTTTAAACCGTTATTTGAGATTAAAAATTTATTTTGAATTTTTCAATTCGATAGTTGGGAATAGAAATATATTTAAAATTTTTTAATTCGGAATTTGGGATTAAAAGTTTATTTAAAATTTTTTAATTCGGAATTTGGGAATAGAAATATATTTTAAATTTTTTAATTGGAATTTGGGATAAAAAATTTATTTTAAATTTTTCAATTCGGTATTTGGGAATAGAAATATATTTAAAATTTTTTAATTCTGAATTTGGAATTAAAAGTTTGTTTTAAATTTTTCAATTCGGTATTTGGGAATACAAATGTATTTTCAATTCGGTATTTGGGATAAAAAATTTAGTTTTCATTTATTTCAATTTTTCAATTTGGCATTTGGGAATAGAAATTTGAAAAAATACTTTTAATTAAGATTTAAGATAAGTTACAAAAAAAAAACATATCAATTGAATAATTTTTTAGGGCTATTTGCAACGCTTCGCTTGCACTGAATCTTTGTACAATACCCCTCACAAATAGAAAAGTAGTCATACAAAAATCTGATTTTGATTGATCGATTTGTATGGCAGCTATATATATGCTCTAGTGGTTCATTCTGAATTGTTCGAATATTGTACCGCTGCCTTGGACAATATGTTATCAAAATTTCGTGTAGATGTCTTGCCAAATAAAGAGGTTTTCCATACAAGCACCTGAGTTTGACCGATCATTTTGTATGGCAGAAACTTTCTACAGTTAAGTGAAGAAAAGAAAGTATACAACATTTCCGAACGATATCTCAAAAAGCTGGGAAGGCTCATCAATGACCCCGCGAATGTTTCGACATTTGCTCCTTTTCGTCCGATCCGATTATTCAGCGATTGTTCAAGATTTTTTGTAATTTTTATTATTATTATTATTATTATAATTATTATTATTAATATTTTTATTATATTTTTTATTATTATTTTTTTTTTTAATTATTATTATTTTTTCTATTATTATATTTATTATTATTATTTTTATTATTATTATTATTATAATTTTTTCTATTATTATTATTTTTATCATAATTTTATTTTTATTATTATTTTATTTTTATTATTATTATTTTTATTACTATTATTTTTATTATTTTTATTATATTTTTTATTATTATTATTATTTTTTTATTATTATTATTATTTTTTTATTATTATATTTATTATTATTATTTTATTTTTATTATTGTTTTTTTTTATTATTATTATTTTTGTATGCCTTTTCTAATTTTAAATCAATAGCCTTTTTCCTGAAGTCTAAACTGTTTACGTTCAGAACTGTCAGATAGCTCATTGCTTCCAAACAATTCTTTCAGTGACTAAATTTATGTAATTTTCGACAGTTCTTTTACAGAGCTGCCAGCAACTGGCATAATGTGTTCAATACTCCAATTGTCGGCAATTCTTCTTTCCAATTCGATTCTGAATAAGGGTATCAGCTCCTATCTATTAAATGTACTCTGATAAACAGTGCAAATAATTAACGGTAATATCTTAACAGAAATCCTTAAATAGACTATACAAGTATATCA